TGAAAGATGGTGTCTTATTTGTATAGTTTGTTATTAACAGCAAATGAATGGCTTCAAGTAAACAGAAAAAAAGTGTCTGAGCTCAGGGAACCAGCTCTAGGTGGCTTCCACTCCAGGTCGGCTGTGAGGAAGGTCTTTGTTTAGCTCTGTGTCCTGGTTCTTTGGATATCTCCAAGTGTTTTGCCCTCTCTCTTCTCTCCATCTTGATTTGCTTAATTTGCTAGGTTTTTGTCTTGTAAAACACCTACTAAAAGCAAACCTTGGGCTGATCCTGTCATTAACATAACAAACATAACCAAATGGGATTCTAACCACAGACAAGGAAGTTAGTGAGGATTGTAATACTCATTTCTGAGATGGGTTAGACGTAAGAAGAGAAATGGGGAAAGAGGGCAGTGTCCAGGAAGAGGGGCGGTGTGTGCAGTCTTTTGGTGGCAGAGAACAAATGCTAAGAGCTGGAGAAAAAAGAAATCACACAGTGAAAAACACAAACCAAGTGACTCACAGACTGTCATAATCTCATAAGCAACAGTGCCTAGAAATGGCAGTTTTGAGCCCAAATCCTGCTCTTTACCAGATAAGCCACATGGTGTGTGTGTAACAGATGCCTTTGGTAAACAGAACTTAGGTAGAAGTCATTTACTGAGAGCTAGATCATATGACATTGATTTGTCCCGGGGTGAGGAATGGAGCCTGTCTCTGGATCCATGCTTCTCCTTTGGGACACAGCAATTTACTTAAAATGTTTGCTTTATGGAACTTTCCTAAATAAGTACTTTTGACTGCAAAAAAATAAGCTGTGTGTTTTCCTCACACTCTTCTGTCACGATGCTCAAGCTGAGATGTGGTTCAGATGGGGGAGCTTTCTGGGTCTTTGATTTTCCCTAAAATCATGAATGAGTCTCAATATCCCAAAGAGTCCCATGGACTACTGACTAAACTGGTTAAAAAATCTGAGCTGGGTTCTCCCTAATCCAAATCACCCATGCTGTTTTCTAAATGAGGTTTTTACTGCCACCCTCTCTGAGCAAACTTCCCTTTCACCAGCATCTTGCTGCATCACCCTGGATCTCCCTGGAAGAAGGGATGGTCCCATCAACATAAGGGATAACAGATTAATGGACTTTCTAGGTATTACTGTGAGCGCCACAATGAATATACAATCAGGAGACAGGGCCTGTTTGACGATTCCCTTCTTCCACAACAGAAGAACCATTTACTTAATTGCCTGCGCTTGAGGGTAATGTCATTTACTATGGTTTACTGTCTTATACTGATTAGAGAATATTAAGTTACTAATGGCGTAAGTCAATAAAGAAAAAAAAAATCATGGACTGTAAGCTAGTATGAAAGAAAAAGCAGAATTGGCAAGCAACAGATAACATTAATATGGGAAATTTCATATAGATACCTGCTTCTTGTACAGAGATGGCTTTATTTTTTATGTAAAACCTTTCCTGTGCTGCATAAATCTAGAGCAGTTAAGTTACATTACAAACTTGGACATTCTGAATTTTAATCCTTTGTTTCAGAAAGCAAAGCTCTAATTCAGTGAGTTCTTCTGAGAGACTGATCAGAATCAAACTACCTTGGATTTTGGCTCCTTCAGTGCATATCATTACTTAGCATTAACAAAGATAGAGGGCACTGAGGCAGGTAATATCAACAGGTGATAAAACACACACATAATTATCTAGAATATAGACCAAAGATAGCTAGTATTTCAAATGGAGTATTTTACCTAAAGACTAAAATCATAAGTAGACTCAACTCAGAGGAGCCTTCTCTAGTTTGGAGAAGGGACATCATGAAGGGAACATTTCTGTCTTTTGTCTTTGGCCCTGTCATCTCCCCACAAAAATGAAGCAACAGAAGAACCTGTGTATGGTACACAGACTTGACTGAGAAATTGGTATTTATCTTTTCCTGTAGAGTTATATTAACAACACATTTTTTAATGGGCACATAAAACAATGTTGTTGTTGTTAAGTGCTGTTGAGTCGAGCATGACTCAGTGAGACCCTGAACCCTGTTCTATAACTAACATCATCATTTCTCTAAGTTCATAGAGTTTCCAGAGACAGTTGTTTAGGAAGTGGATGCCATTCCTGCTTCCAAGCCTGTCTTAATCTGGAAGCTCCATCAAACATTGTCCACTATGGATAATCATGATGGCATTTGACACATCAGCGATACAGTGTTCAGCATCACAGCAACACCAAGTTGACTCAGTACAACAAACTGACAGACCAGTGTTGTATCACTTACAAGGATGCTCATCCCACACACAATTAACACAAGGCCTGAGGGCCCAGCTCACTCTTAGATATAAAACCTGCTCACCAGGTCCTGGTGGACTCTAAACAAGTGGCTTCCAGCCCACAGCTCATAGATAGCCAAATCTAACACATCCCATGAGCTTATACACAAACTGTGAGCAAAATAAAGAACAAGAGAGCCCACCTTCCAGAATCCAACCACTTCACACATAGCCTCCAAATACATAAAACAGTAGTAGGGGAAATGTTAAGGGGTGGTAGAAACTAGCAAAGTTCTAGAAAGCCTTGAGCCAATTAGAACAATTAAAGTATGAACTTTAACAGGAGAAAGATGGGCCGTTTATTCCAGCGAGATCTACAGCCTGTGAAAAACCTGCTAGGGGCTTAGCTGTGAGTCCATTCCCACCAACAGCAGAGTTCAGTTTCGGACTTTTCACATATTTATGACAAATGGTAGGCAACAAGCATGGTTACAGGAATAGGTATTGATATAGCTTCATTTTTTTTTCTTATAAAGGAAGATCAGGATGGATGGTGAAGAGACTGAGATTGTACACAGCTTTAGTTTGCTTG